GTTCCTCGGGGAGACCAGGGAGGGGACGGAGGGAAGAACTGGAAGAAGGCGCTGGGAGCCAGGAGGGGTGACTTCGAAAACTCGCCCTCTGGCATCAGGAATCCTGGCAGGCGCTGCACTTTTGAGGTTCAAGTTTGTTTATTCTTGGCAAAATGCAACCGCCTGTTTCTAAGAGAAAAGTCTTTAAAAGGCTTATAAAATCTACTCAAAAGGCTTTCTGGACATCAAATAGCTCATAAAAAGGAACATTTTGATGAGTTAAGTGTAAATGAATCAGAAACATACGGATTCCATTTCTCCTAATCTGCCATTGGATTTAGAAATGAAGGAGAAAACCGCTCAAAGCCAAATTCTTCAGGGGCTCCGCAGCCCCTCGAAACCTTTGAAAGCGATTGGCAACGTGAGGTCAATCCTTTGCAGAGCCCCCCTGTGCCCTGCTGGCCACGGGGCTCCGGGGAAGACCCCGCTGCAGGCTGGCTCTGCGACAGAGGAAGGGAAGGAGCGCGGTGCGTTTACGATGCACAGGACCTTTGCCTGCCAGGGTCACCTCTTGCAGAGGGACGCGCTGATGCCATCTGACCCGGGAAGCACAGATGATGGAAATACTGCAGAGACAGGGTGCCAATCCACGCACACGGCCACGTTAAAGTCATGTCTCCTGGCCTCAGTTCCCCATCTGAAAAACAGAGCTAAAGGGGCCTTACAGACTTGGGCATGGTGGCGCATGCCGGTTGTCCCCCGCCACTCAGGAGGCTGAGGCAGGAGGATTGCCACGAGTTTGACACCAACCTGGGTCACATAGTAAGCTGAAGCCCAGCCTGAACTATATAGCAAGACCCCATCTCAAAAATTAATTAATTAATTAATTAAAGGGGACATCTAGGTAGAGTACAGGGCAAGGGTCTGACTAAAAGTGCCACAAATATCTTAGCCAGTGACAGGTCAATAGCAAGGTACTGATCAAGCATGGTCATCATTATGATACACACGTACACCCTCTGTGTGGTGCCACCTTATCCTCATTTCTTTGTTGTTGTTGTTTTGTTTTGTTGGTTTGTTTTCTTTGAGACAAGGTCGCACTAAGATGGCTTTAAACTCAGGATCCTCCTGCTTCAGCTTCACCAGCGCTGGGATTACAAATGTGCGCCACCGTCCCCACCTCTTACCCCATTTTAAAGTCAAAGAAACTGAGTCTCAGAATAACATACAGACACCCAGGGCCCGTGACCTCCAAGGTGTCAGACTGATTTTGAACCTTGTATCTTGTGAGTCCAGTGGTCTTGTCCCCCCTATATGGTCCTCCACTTCCTCAAAGGGTTCCTGGGTACCAGCAGAACTGATCAGACCAAAGACCTGGGAGCGACTTCCCTGTAAGGTTGGTGCTGAGAGCCTCCCTGCAACCCCCTGTGGGTGGCTGAAAGTTATGCCCCAGGGCTTCCCCAGAGGCCCGCAGACTTTCTGATGCCCGGCCTCTGTGCTGGAGGGATGGAGGGGCATCTCTGGCTTCCAAGCTTTTGCCTTCCTGGGGCCACGGAATTACAGAGAAGGAGACGATAGCAGCAGGGAGCTGTGTTTTCCCATCACCTTGTCTCAGAGCAACACCAAGTAACACGTCCCGGAAAGTCCCCAGCGAGAGCTGCAGGCAAGGCACCCGTGCCCTGTGTGTGGAGGCCCAGGTGGGCGCTGCCTGGCCCGCTGCGCTCGCCTCCACACATGGTCGGATCAGAGCGGGTAATTACACCATGTGGGACGCGGTGTGTATTGCTTCCACATGAGATGGAGAGTGTGAGAAGCTATTAGAACAACTGCGGGGTGTGGAATGTTCTTGGGATGAGGAGCAGCTTGCATCCAAGAGTTACACTGTGTCTGAGCAAGCCAGCGGAAATTGCTCGGACGGCCTGCGGGAGGGAAAGCTGCTAAGCATCTCCTCGGGCGGGCGGGCGGGCGGGCGAGCCTCCTGTCAGACGCTGCAGGAACCAAGGGGGCAGCCCCTGGCCAGGGGTGGAAAAGCAGGCGGGAGCGCCTGCAAATGGGAACGACCGACCGCTGAACGCAGGACAGGGGCCTGGGACGCGTCTTTCCACAGAACAGCACAGGAGGGGCGCGGACATGCTGTGGTCATGGGGAAACGAGGCTCCGCTCTGAGTCCACAAAGACGGTCTCACTCAGGGAAACAAGCAATCACAAGTGCTGGAGAAGAGGCAGGGAAATCCCAACTATTTGGGGGGAGGATGCACACCTGGGCAGGCAGTGGCCATGGAAAACGGGCTGGTCGTCCCTCAAAACGTTAACCTGGGGAGGGTGGTGTCTCCTCTCAGCCAGCAATGATTCCAGTCCTAAGTGGATTCCTGAAAGCACTGGAAACGGGAGCTCCAACAAGTACTGGATCTCGAATGCCAAGTTCACAATAACGGAAAGGAGGAAGCTGCCCACGTGTCCGACAGCTGAGTGGGTGGGCAGAACACGGCACGTCCACAGAAGGACACGGGGCTGGGGACACAGCTCAGGCTCAGCCCCTGCACGGCATTGCAAGGCCCTGGGGTCAGTGTCGACACTGCAGAACGCCACTGTGAGAAACGCCCAGAACAGGCACGTGCCCCAAGTGCCCATCGGGGGTTTCTGGGAGTGGCGGGCGAGAAGGCAGAGTCTCGGGGAGAAACCACTTCATCGGAGCGGGAGTGGTGGAAATGTCCCTCCACTACACACAGGCCAGAGAGTATTAAACACTGCCCAACTGGTCCCTAAAATGGTTACCCTCATGTCCTGGGAATTTCCTTCAATAAAAAGGTAACAACAGCTGAGTGGCATGGTGCACACAATGGTGCTCACAATGTGGCCCAGACCGGCCTCAGGAGGCTGAGGCAGGAGAATCACCGGAAGTTCAAGGTTAGCCTGGGTTACAAGTTGAATTGAGGATCCTAAATGCCATAGAAAAGCCTGGCCTCAAAAAAAAAAAAAAAATAGCCAGTGTGGTGGTGACAGCCTGTAATCCCTGCACGTGGGAGGCTGAGGCAGGAGGATCACTGTGAGTTCCGGGCCAGCCTGGGCTACCCAGTGATTCCCTGTTTCAAATGATGACAATGATGATAATGATGATGGCTGCAGTCCACCTTCCAGCCCAGGGACACCTGGCCTCGGCCTCCAGCCCAGCACCAGCAGCTGAATTTCCTCTGGCCATGGCTCCTGACTTGAAGCTAAACTGTGTGGGCCAAGACCTGCTTGTTTCTTGGAAGCATTTTCTTTTTTTTTATTTTGTTCCTCAGTGCATGCTGTGATCCATGTTAAATATGTTCAAGTGAGGAGACGGTGCCGTGTATGTCCGGGCTCCCTCCCTTCCCTCCCCTCCTCTGCCTCCCACCTCTCTATCCCCAGATCCTCCTCCCACCTCCCGGGTCCTAGCTCTTCTTTTTAGGATGCAGCTGTGGGTGAGCTGGATTGTCCCGTTACCTGCATGATCCTTTAGGAAAATAACTCCGACAGGCACAGAGGAGGTGGTGGCTCTGATCTCTCTCTCGGGATCCCTGCGGGCTGGCATGATGCAGGCGGAATCAGCATCATTTAGAATTTGGTCTCCTTACAGTCCGGAGGTGGCCTGCTCCATGCTGATAGTTACAGATAATGGATTTAAATCCTTTCATGCAAGAGGCTGAGGCAGGAGGATCGCCACAAGTTTGAGGCCAGTCTGGGCCACATTGTGAATTCAAGGTCAGCTTAAATGATACAGTGAGACCCTGGCTGGTTCATAAAAAAAAAAAAAAACTCCAAAAAATTAATAAATCTATAAATAAATGAATCCTTCCCTGCCCATAGTCACCGTGGGCCCCAGGACGAACCCTCATCTTGCCTTCTTTACCTGTAAGGTGGGGCAGGGACCCCTCACGATGTAAAACTGGCCCAGATCCCAGGAGTTGCTCCTGTAATTCATCGTTCCGGCTTTCCACCATCCTGGCCTGATCTAGGAGGTTTCATGTGCGTAGGGTCCGCCCTTCACTACACTCCCAGCAATGCCGCTTCCCAGAGAGGTTAAGTGACTCCCCGGATGTCGCACAGCAAACAGGCCCAAAGTGAAAATTCAGACTCAAACACCTGACACTCCTGCACTGCCCGGGCATACAGCGTGCAATGCAGAACCGAGGATTTAGGAGCCTTGGCCCAGTTCTGCGGGCGCCGACCACTGCGTGACCTTGGGCCTCCGTGGTCAGGCACAGGACCACCTGGGGTCCTGCCAGGGACAGAAATGACACACGGCAGAGTGGGGGAAACTTCCAGCTGCAGCCTGACCTCCTGTGTGAAGCAGGAAAGGAAAGGAAGGTTGTCATTCTTTCCTTTTTAATAATCTTCTCTTTTAAATATTTATCTCCTGGAATTTCTTCATTCAACAAATATTTATTGATTTCTTACTCCGTGCCAACTTCTGGCCCCCAATCCCAGAACACGAGATCCCTGTGTGCCCAGAGCTGACACGCAAGTGGGGAAGATAGAAATGAGCCCACTGGAGAAAAGTCAGGAGGGTTTTGGACACTAAAGACAACAGGACGGAAGGCTGATTCTGATTAAGTGTCAGGGATGTTGTCCTGGAGAGTGTTTTGAGGTGAAGCCAGCATGACCAGAAGTTGCACAGAAAGACCTGGAGGGAGCATGTTCCAGGCAGCTGGAACAGCACGTGCAAAGGCCCTGGGGTGAGAAGGAGTGGACATGGCAAGGATAGAGCAGGCCAGTAGTGGAGGCCAAGAAGGGAGAGCTCAAGGCCAAACCCTGGGGTGCTCCCTGACCTTCCCAACCTCAGACTATACAGGAAACATGGTTTACCAAGGAGCCTAGGACAATGCCCCTGACGTGTGGGGTGGAGGAGATGGACCATTATCACCACGAGCCCAACACCAAGACGAGGTTGGCCCTCAGCACTCCGGTGCGTGCTCGCTCAGACGTTTTATTTCCTACGTGTATAAATAAACAAGTCCACGTTTACAAGAGTAGGACCATATAATACAACCATGAACTGGCTTTTAAATTTATTTTATTTTGCTTTATTATGTATTTATTGCTTCATACATCATAAACATCTACGTCAGCACCCTGGAATAGAAGGGGTGACATGTGGGGACTCAACAAACACATGTATGAGGGAAGAAGGAAGGAAGGAGGAGAAGGGAAGGGAAAGAGAGGGCAGACTGACCTTCAGCCGCCCCGCGTCCCGTCCCGTGCCTGAACCCTCAGCCCCCCTTGAACCATCTTCTATCTTTGACACTGAGGTCACCTCCAGTTGTCACCGCCACCGGCTGTGCCGCAGTGACCCTGTCTGTCCTCGCACCTCCCTGCCTTCCAGTGGCTTCTGTCCTCGGCATCAAACCTCAGGGGAGAGGTCTGTGCACCGGGAGGAGCTGGCTGTCCAGGAAGACCCAGCAGCCCAGCTCTCACGGTTCTGGGGACTGTGAACCCACCAGATGGAATCTTTTTTGATAGAAAACAAGCCCAAACACCAAGGCGCCCAGGAGCAAGTCTCTGAGTAGCGCTGGATTCCTCATCCTCCTGGCCCACGAGTGTCCCTCCACCCCAGCAGGTGGCCGCCCCTGTCCTCCCCTCCTGCTCCTTGGGACGTGGCCCAAGGACCCCTTCCCTGGCCTCCAGCAACAGGAGCCACGCCCCAGGGAACTCGCTTCATCTCTGACTCTGGCGCTGCCTCGAGTCCTTCCCTGGACAAGGTGCACCCTTCTTCTCTCTGCAAAATTAAGAGGTGCAAAAAGATTCCTGGAGCCGCTCGCCAGGTCCTTTCGTAGCTCGCTGGTTTCAATATTGCGTTGGCAGCTGCAATAATGATTTCTTTTCTTAAAGCACAGCACTGAGAGGCCAACTTGAGATCATGGCTGTGAACCCGGCTGTGAACCCGGCCTGGCCACGACTGCTAGCAACGCCTCACACCCGCTACCGCCCTTCACCAGGATTCCTCTCCACCGCCACCGCCTCTCTCTCCCTGTGCCCAGGTCCCCAGGTTAGAGGAAGGAGCAACTGGAAACAAGCTGGGCCATCCACAGAGGCACTGAGGTCCCCGACCCCAAACGCGTGGAACCACAGGTACTCTGGCTTTCGGATCATTTTGAAATTTTGCAGTATCTCTCTCAAGGGTGAGGCCATGACTATATCTCAGGCACAGCTTCTCCACATAGCCTGAAGGTGTTCATAATTTTGTGCACATTAGAAAAAAACATTTCATACCTGGCAAGTGTGAGGTCATGAGTTCTATCCCTGGTACTGCAAAAAAAAAAAAAAAATTTGTGATGTGGAATTTTTCACTAGAGACATCCCATAAGAACTTACCATGCCCTGGATTTGGGCATTTCGGATTACAGACTTCAGATCCCGGATGGCCCGCCTACCCAGGCTCTGTGCCCCTAAAGATGTGGGCTTGTGATGCCCTATGAAATCTTGCCATGGAGGAGAAAGGTTACTGTGCCCAGCTGGAAGATGGGAAGAGGGACGTGGAGTAGGGGACAATGTGGGTGCCGACTGGGACTGGGGGAGCCAGGATGCGTGGGCTTGGAGGGCAGGACCAGGGTGGGTGGCCACTCCCCTCGGCGCCCACACTGCGGCCGACAGCCGCTGAGTCTTGCACGAAAACAAAAACTGCAGTAAAGAAATGCAGCTTTCATTTGACATACAGAAGAAAAAGGAGGAGGAAGAGGAGGAGGGAGAGGAGGAGGAAGAGGGAGAGGAGGAGGAGGAGGGAAAGGAGGAGGAGGAGGGAGAGGGGGAGGAGGAGGGAGAGGAGGAGGGAGAGGAGGAGGAGGGAGAGGAGGAGGAGGAGGGAGAGGAGGAGGAGGAGGGAGAGGAGGAGGAAGAAGAGGAGGAGGGAGAGGAGGAGGAAGAGGAGGAAGAGGAGGAGGAGGAAGAGGAGGAAGAGGAGGAGGAGGAAGAGGAGGAGGAGGAGGAAGAAGAAGAGGAGGAGGAGGAGGAAGAAGAGGAGGAGGAAGAAGAGGAGGAGGAAGAGGAGGAGGAGGAGGGAGAGGAGGAGGAAGAAGAGGAGGAGGAAGAGGAGGAAGAGGAGGAGGAGGAGGAAGAGGAGGAAGAGGAGGAGGAGGAAGAGGAGGAGGAGGAAGAGGAGGAAGAAGAGGAGGAGGAAGAAGAGGAGGAGGAAGAGGAGGAGGAAGAGGAGGAGGAGGAGGAGGAGGAAGAGAAGGAGGAAGAGGAGGAGGAGGAGGAGGGATAACATCTGGAATCAGGCATTTGGGTTCCTTCTCCCCTACAAGCCCCCGCTTCAAACACCCCGGGAGCCATGAGCCTTTCTTTAGCAACAGGGAACTCGAAAAAGCAGAGCCAGCCAGGAAGAAAGCGGATGTGCCGGGACGCCCTGAGAAAAGCCAAGCGTGAGCTGAGAAAAGGTAAGGAAATCTCCTGCCAGACCCCACACACCGTCCGTCTCCTCACCACACCCACCGGAGATGGAAGCCCAGGCCTTCCTGCTCAGCTATAGCTCAGCAGTTCCCCCCCCCACCCCCCCTTTATTAATCTTCAGTCTCACTAGGTCACTAAGCTGCCCAGGCTGGTTTGAGCTCGCCTCCTGCCTCGGCCTCCCGCAGTGCTGGGATTCTCGGTACCCCTGGAGCGCCTTTCCCACCCTTGTGGCCTCATGCCTTTTATTTTCCTGAGGTTCTGGTGGCCTCATCGGCACCCTCTGGCTCATGCACAATCACACACACGCGTGCTTCCCTCGGGTTTGTTATCTGTACCTGAAAGGCCAGCAGCTGGCCTCCCGGGATGGCTCCCTCCACCCTGCGCCTGCATCCGGAGCTCTCCACGGTGGCCACGGCCAGGAGGTGCTCCCTCCGTGAACAAGCAAAACGCCACTCACGCCCACACGGGAAGGACAGACAGAGAAGGGGCCGCAGGCCAGTCCACCACACCCCATGAGGTGCGCATGCACAGTGTCCCGCGAGCCCTGGACACCATCAGCGCCTTCATGGGTTTGCTCCCTGCAGGCTGCGTGGAAATTTGAGGCCCCTCGTGGCTACCGGAAGTCTGACCCGACCTGGTGCTGTGACCCTGGGTTTGGGCTCATCCTACAGCTGCAGATACTAAGGGCCGGGAAGTGAGGAAACTGCCCCAAACTTCCCAACGCAAAAGCAGTGGCGCCAAACTTGTGCTAGATTGCAGCCCGTGTCCTGGGGCCATGCGGTTCCACGTGGTCCCCAACAGTCATGCGTGGCTACTAGATGCTTGCAATGTGGCAGGTCCAGGTCCAAGTATTCACTAGGGGCAACACAGTGAATTTCATGCCTTCCTGTATTAACAAAGAATGGGAAACGTTTTAACGTGTTTTCCAGTCCCGGGGACTGAATCCAGGATCTCTGCCCTGAGCCTGGCATCAGGAGCTCACGAAATCACTGAGCTCCCCAGACCGGGCTGAAATTAGCAACCCTCCTGCCTCAGCCTCCTTCAATTTTCCGTTCTCAATCTTGTTTTTATAATGGTCTTACATGTTTGTACTGATTACAAGTTGAAATGATATTTGTTTCCTTGGCTGAAACAAAACCTGTCACGATGAATGTCTACTGTCCTAGCAAATGGAACATTGAGAGCTACCCAGACCCCTGCTGTGGCAAGGATGGACCCCAACAGTGGCATCACCAGGAAGCTTTGGGGGACACAGCCTCTCAGGCCCCACCCCACCCTGACCTGTGGAAGCAGGACGTGTACCCCGACAAGATCTCAGGGAGATTTCTGTGCGTGTCCAGTGTGAGCAGCACCGGGAGTCCATGGCTCCCCACGGGGTTTCTTCCATGGATCACTAGTACCTGTGTGGCATGACGTTTCCATGTATTTTCAGAGGCAGCCACAATTACAAAGCTGAGCAGAGTTCAAGGAATGTGGTGACGCACAGGTGGCATCTTAGCACTCGGGAGGCTGAGGCAGGAAGATTATCACAACCTCAAGGCCAGCTTGAGTGATATAGTGAGTTCAAGGCCAGCCTGAGCTGCATGGAGAGACCCTGTCTCAAAAAGACCAAAAAAAAAAAAAAATTCACCTTCAAATTAGATGCAGGTGAAATAGATTTAAATTATTGAGGAAAAGTTTGTAAAACCCTAGAAAGACTCTTCTTTCGGGAATTTAAAGTCCTAACTGATGTACCATGTCTTCAGGTGGCCCCAGTCTACGCCTGTGACGTCAGTGAAATCAGTAAAGAGGTCCCTTTCATAGACGGAGTGTGTCACCCCAATATCGTGTCTGACTGATGCAAGAAACTTCACACAGCAGCAGACCAGACCTCCAGTCCCCAGCCCCACACCAGCAGCACAGCAAGTGGGCGCACGCTGGTGGGTCAACTCGTGACGCTCCCCGGTATCAGTGTCTGGCTAACCGATATTTCCAGGTCCCCGTCACCTCACCAGCTGGGCTGCATACGTGGCTCCTGTTGTTTGGCCCAAAGATTGGCGCTAGTCCACGCCATGGACTGACCACTGCAGCTGCCTAGACCAGAGTCTTCCCAATGCTTGGATGGGAGACAACAGTCATTAGGTCCAAGGGAAACTGAGGGCCGGAGGCGCGGCAGGACTCACCGAGGCTGCTCAGCACTTCTGCGGCAGACCCGAGGCCCAGCCCAGCCCCAGCCCAGGTCTCCGGCACCCATGACTCCCGGCCCTTGGGGAAGAGGACTTCAGAGGCACAGGCAGGAGGCGTCCCCGCCTCCTCTGGCACATGTCACCGAAACCCTGCTGCACCCAAGCCCTGTGGGAGGTTCTCCGGGCCAGCAGTGGCTCTGAAGGGAAAAGGAGGCCGCTGAAGGGGGACACTGGCTCTCCTTCTCATCAGTGTGAGCTCTGCTACTCCACTGTTGGGTTCCAGTGACAACGACAATGACACACAGTGAGCCCTCACTCGGTTCTGATTCCAGGGTTGAGTATTTCATGTGACCTGTACAACAGCTATTATACCCATTTGGTAGGAAGGAAACTGAGGCACAGAGACACAAAGCAAGCTGCAGCACACAGGTCCTGAGAACTGGAGCCCAGGGAGTCTACCTCCTGCCGCTCCTTCCTGTAGCCTCTGCCACCTGCCTGCCATAACCGCCAGCAGAAGTACTGCAAAGCCTCCTTCAAAATCACGGACAAGATATGGTGGGAAGAGCTGCCTCTAGCCCTGGTCCCACTTCCCAGGCAGGCAAGGCACTGCCACTCCTGGGCAACAGGTTCTCCATCCATTAAATGAGGAGTTAGATGAAACTTTTGTAAAGAGCTCTATGACATTCTACAACATTCCAGAATGTTCTGGAATAATCTAGAACATTCCAGGCAGGAAGGAAAAGTCTCATACCCACAATCATCCAGGACCACTCGCAGCTGTTTTATTTTAGGGACTGCATCACATGTTTGTTTCCTTGGAGAGAAAAAGTAACATATACAAAGCACTAAAGAGGAACACATCTTGGAGCTTTCACTGCCCCACACAGTAGGTGAAGAAGGGAAGAGGGAGATGGCATTGGCTTAGAGATGAAGTCTGACAGGAAGCAGCTTGGGTCAATTTTCTCGTGTCAAACAGCAATGGGGCTTCGATCTAAGCAGCAAGACGGGAATATGGCTTGATCAGCAGTTGCAGAGAGGGAGATGAACATCATAATCATGGCACCAGGACAGAGGGACAAGCAGAGCCTACAGAGCAAAACCCATAGCTCACCGCATTCTCAGCCCTCTCCCAGTCAGCGCTCCATCCCTGCCATCAGCCCGGTTCACAGATGGTAAAACTGAGCTCTAGACAAAGCATATGGCTTCCCAAGTTTACTAACTTTCTCAAGCACAGTTACAGATCACCAGCCAGGTTCTTGGAGATCAAGGTCTGAGTCCCTTCTGAATTTAGCAGCTCCTGGGAACATTCCCAGATGAGGCAAGGTCAGAACAGGACCACATGTGAACTAGGGTGCGACTCCGTGTGTGCCAGTGATAGATCCACACCAACCACCACCCCTGGGAGCCACAAAGCTGTGAAGTTGTGCTCACAAGGTCCCCAAAGAATCCATGAAAGGGCAGAGGATGCGCATGTGTGACTCTGCACGCACCGTCCTGCCAGTGTGGCATGGAACTTTAGGGGCTGGAGACACATGCCGGGCGGGCTCTGTACCCAGATGTATGAGTGACCATCTGAGGTAACCTGGGACGTTGAAATCCCGCGACTGAGACCACAACGGAAAAGCTCCCTGCTGTCACCTGTAAGCCCAGTCTGACATGGGACAAGTGGGGAGACGCGTGGGTCCCCCGAAGCAGACACAACCCCGTTGCGCAGCACTGGGTCAGCACAGTTGAAAGACAACAGCAAACAACAAAGAGACAGCTCCAGCCACAGCTGTCCCCGCCACAAACCGCCAGACCCGGGCAGGCTGCTCGTCCCAGACCAGCCCTGGCCCCTTGCACCCCGGGATGGGCTGTGAGCATGGGGCGTCCTGTGACTCTGCAGCCCTGCGCCCAACATCAGCCTTCATGCTTGAACCGGGACCTCCATTTCCCCCAAAACACTCCACGTCAACAGCATCGGAACGTGAGAGCAACGTTTGATTCCCCAAAGCCTGTTGTCTCGGCAAAGCCGGCTAATTCAGATTTAACCTCCCTCTTAATAGGCCGCGTAGCCGAGCCTTCTAATTAATACCACATGTTCCCCTCAGCTGTCACCCTGAATAAATGTTTACAGAACTATTAACGGACTGTATTTGTAAACCGGGACCGCGCGGCTTTGGGGAGTCATGTGGTATACATTTTCTCCTCAAAGATGGAAAAGGCTTAGCAATAATAAATACATTGTTTTGCAGGGATGGAAGCAAGGCGTTGCCTTAAAAAAAAATTTATTGCGAGCTTCCTGAGAGACCAGGGTTGTGTGTACGTGAAGAATCGGAGCTTTTCCCAAGTTCACGACAGTGGCAGGGGGCCAGGTTTGAGCCAGGTAGGGGGTTCAAGGGGGAGAAAACTCTAAGGGGAGAGAAAAACCCTAGCTTGAGGCCAAAAGGCCCTGGCTCTGATTCCAGTCTCTTAGCCCACCAGCTGAGTTTTGTTCTCATCAACTCAGTCTTCCCATCTGGAAAATGGGAGATTGGAATCTGTAAGAACAACTCCTCTTAGATCCAGGATTCTTTCTGTTTTCCCATCTGCATACAACAGTTCATACGATTTTGTATCCATTCGTCAAATATACCCAGGACCCTAAAGATAAAGTCTTAAAGCCAGATGTGGTGGTGCACACTTGTAATCCCAGTACTCAGGAGGATCACCACATGTTCAAGGCCACCCAGGATGCATAATGAGACCTTGTCTTATTAAAAAAAAAAAATAGAGTCCTAATATCTGAATGTGGTGTCCCTTTCCTAAAAGGGGCCCAGTCCAGGCTCAGCTCTGAGCTTTTGCCTGGGCTGGGTTCCCTGCCAGGAACACTGTCTTCCAGAATAGGAAGATTACAGATGTGTGCCCCCCTGCCTGGCTGAGTCTTGGTTTTTTTACCGCTATGACACCTTGACTGACTGGGAGAGAATCATACTGCATGCGGCCAGCCCAAGAGAAGCCCAAAATTCAAAAGAAAAAAAAAAAATCAGGGGAAGTTTGCTACTGGATGCAAATGGCTATGAGCTGAACCATTGTAAGTCAATACTTTTAATCAACATTGATGAAACAGGGTAGGCTGAAAGACAACCGGGCCAAGTCACCAGCACAAAGGAATGTGAGGACCTTTCTAGATACTTCTTCCCAGGATTCCTGGCTCACACTCTCACCATCTTGCAACATCTTTTGTGCTTCTCTCTAAAGCAATAAAAAGCTCAGAGAGGTTAATACCTCATCAGATAGTATGATGTCTGGGATAAGAGCAAAGATTATTTTATTTTATTATTTTGTTTTTTTGAAATGGGAATCTTGTTATCTAACCCAAATTATCCTCAAACTCACAATCCTCCTGCCTCAGCCTCCTGAGTAACTGGGATTACAGGCTGGAGCCTCCATGCTCAGCTACAAAAGCTGGGATTGGAACCAGGACCTTTGATCTCTAGAAGCCCAGGCTCTTACCCACAGTGATATCCAGCCTCCTCGCGGCCACTGACCCCAGAGTCACAGCTACCCCTGTGCCCACCGGTCTGGGACCTGATCCCTCATGTGTGGATAGAAATAGCTTTAGTGTGCTACTCCAGTTACTTCTCTCTCGATTGTCACAATGGATCCTTGAAAGGTGCCAGCGAATCTGCCTGTAAGTGACAGAAATTCATTGTCAGCTAAAATGAACCCAGCACAGTTAACAGGAGCCATGACGACTCTGCTCTCAAACCACAAAAAAGGCAAGAGGTGACAGTTACCTTAGAAATGCCCACCGCCAAGGACTCTGACCGTCTTTGGGTGCCCTCCCCTCATCACTCTCTCTTCTTTCAGGGGTCATTTAGTTCTTCTGGTCAGCTGCCACCAGGAAGTCGGAACTGTGCTTCGCTTGTTGGAAAAAAAATCTTACCTGTACCGAGCATGAAGCCCTGGGGAAGCATTTTGATTGGCCAAGGCCTGAGTCACATGCTCATGACTGGACCAATCACCGTGGCCAGGGCTGTGATTGGCTGCTCCTGCTGAAAACTCCATGTTTAGGATTGGGGCGGAAGGGTTTCCAGGGCGGAAGGAAGTGGATAAAGATGTGACCAGAAGAAGAGGTGCTGAGCCAAAGAGAACCCGAGTAACTCATGACACAGGTCCTGGCGTCAGGCTGGAAGGAGGCCACTTGTTCCCCTGCTTTCACCTCTAGGGAGAAGAAAGACAAGTCAACATGGGACTAACACCCTCTGGGTGCCGCTGCCACACAAGAGAGCAAACAAGGGATTTGTTCCCAAATAAAAATGGAAGAGCAGTGTTTGAATGGAGCGACAGCGGCAAAGCCAGAGGAATAAAAAGAGCAAGGCAAGACGGAACTATCTGCGGTTTTGCTCACCACAACACATAGTAGGCGCTCAAGAAATGTTTCCTGAAGGAATAGCTCAGTGATTAGGAGCAGTGTGTCAAGAACAAGGACCAGAAAGCGCCACTGCTTTGTCAGGCAACTCAAGGGTTGGACAGGCGTGGGTCCCAGCACCCACAAGAGCAGCAGATGGTGAAATCGCTTCAGCCACCAGGACCTCGGTGTCACCGAGGATCTCCATAAATCGGAATGACACCCCTGCCTCTTCCTTGGAGCATGGGATTAAATACATCCTCCCAAATCCCCTGGGATGGTGCCAGGACACCGTGACGTTTCGATCTGGGGCAGAAAACAGATGATAACGTTTTACAAGAATCCCACTTCCTTCCCAGGGGTTCAGAGCCCTCAAATCTTCATTACATGGAAGTTTTACTTATTTCCGTGTTTCGACCAGCTCTGCGAGAGCCAGGCAGAAAGCAAAACAAGCAAGTGGAGGCTTCTTGTTAGGAGCTGACGTCCCTACAACAAAGCAGTTTCCCCGCAGGATCTGCGCGGTGAATTGGAAACGGCTTTCACTGGGTTCCTTCCAGGCAACAGAAACTATCGTTACTGACCTCGCAGCAGCTCTGGCCCTCCTGATACGTTTAAAACGAGTGAGAGATACCAACCCTGTTGAAATCGCAACGCCTCTACAATTGCTGCCGACATCCTAGAACACAAAGCGCAAAAGGACGCAGCCCCGCAGCGTTTTCCTGTAAACACCACCGTGTACGTTCAGCATTTTCATGCTCGGAGCCCGGAGCCAGGAGTTTTCCAGCTATTGGCAACCACCAGGAGGTAAGAAAGCAGCCAGGCCAGAAAGGATGTTGGAACTGTTTTGAAGGTTCTATAAATTCACATTAAATTTCTTTCCTCTTTTTCTTTTTTGGCTCCTTCCTTTCTCTCGTTTCCCCACCACTGCCTCCTGCTCCCGACCCCTCCCTCCTCCCTGACAAGGGAAGTATTCCCCACGCCAGACTCAGCGCTGAACCCACATCCAGACAAGTGCAGGACCACTCTAGAGAACGTCTCTGTCTTCTGCTCCTCCAGGGACTTCAACAAAGGTGTCTCATGGGTGCGTCTCCTAGGGTTCAAAACTTGCGGACCAGGAGTTCAGCCAGATGAGCTCTTCTTTCAGCTCCATGAAAACTCTGCCTCTCACCTCAAGCCTTTGAATTCCTGGCCACCCCTCAAGTGTGGGTGGTATTAGGGCCCCTTACGGCCCTCTGGCCAAGGAACCTGAGCGGAGCCAAAGAACTGTTCCTATTTCAAGTAGTGTTTCCCAGAGGCTGGGCCAGGGCTGGTTTCCTGGGCATGGGGCCTGTACAGTTGCAGAATCCTGTACTTAGAAAAGAGAAGTCCAGCTGGGCGTGGTAGCACACGCCTGTAATCCTAGTACATGGGAGGTTGAGGCAGGAGGATCGTTGCGAGTTTAAGGGCCCCATAGTGAGTTCAAGGCCAGCCTGAATTACAGTGAGACCAGAGTCCAGCATTTGCTTTATCACTCTAGTTACCATCTTAAAATTGGTCCCACTTGAGCAGGAAGCTTCACCTGTTCATTTTGCACTTGACTTGCCACATACACATGATGGGGTCATCTTGCCTGACACAGCTGGACACTGTCCACTTGATGGAATTCAACCGCTGTCTAAGCCAATGTGCACATCCTGTGTGTCTTAGAGCTGGTGTGGGACTCGGTTGGCAGTGGCCTGCCAACTAAATGAATTAATAAATTAATTCAAATACAGCAAAAGAGAAATAAAAAGCAAGAAAATGAATGAATAATCCAAAGTCGAGAACTGCTCATTGTAAAGACCACTAAGCACCACCAAGCCCTGGACCCCAGACTATCACCCTGACCAACTCACCACATAGAGTTGCAGAGTTCCCAGAAGGCACCAATTCACTACGCGCTTTGGGGTAAGTCCCTGCCTCATCCTGAACCTCAGTTCACTCATCCATGAAACGGACCAGCTCTGCCATCCTGGTGATCCCAGCTTGTCCCGAGTTAAACAAATGGCTTATAAATGCTTGTCCCAGCCCGGGCTGCATCTGAGCCCCAGGGGAGGTCATTAAAATGCTTTTCTCCAGAGCCTAACACTGGAAGTTGTAATTCAGAAGGTCAGAGATACAGCCTACGGATATTTTTAACCAATTCCCTCCGTCAATTTTGATTAGCAGTTTTGAGACCCATTGGATTGAAGTATTAAAAAAAATCACTCACTAATCATTCAACAAACACATTCTGAAGATTCCCTCTGGGGCTCATCTCGTGCAAGGTAAGAGAGACCCGAAGATCTCTCTACCTCTAGGGACCCTCCAATTTCTGGTTGCAGGAAGAACTTCAAAAACAAGCTGATAGCATGGATTTGCTGTGTGCCAGGTACTGCTCAGACAGCTGTATGCACATTAACCATGACTCATTGGATTTTATTTCCCAAAAGTGGCCGCAGCAGTATCACCAGTCCGCAGTGTCTTCCAGAAGATTGCCATGCCCCTAGCAAGCAACAGAGATTATTTCTACTTCCCTTGAAACTGGCTGGAATTGGAATTTTATGAATTTCTTGGGGACCAGAAGAAGCTGAAATGATCCTCTGTGACCCCCAAATGAAGTTATAAGAAGCAATTTTTCTTCTACCTGTTTCTGGGTGTCTTGGAGTGCTCACTCTGGAGACCTGGACCCCCCAAGTAGTGCACAGATGCCATGTGTGGTCTTCCAGCTTTCTGACCCAGTGGAGGCCCAGCAGTCTGCAGCCCTGTGAGCCAGAAAGCTGCTGCTCTGTCACGAGATGGGTCTCCTTGCTGAGCTCTGCCCAGGTTAGAGATTTAGGGGCCAAGTCAATGTAGCCAGTGTTTTAACCCACTGACAGCTAGGGTGGCTTTTTAACCTGGCAGCAGGAAACCATAACGTGAACCCACTGGAGCTCTGCTGCTCGGTGACACAGATATGAGTTTCCCCTTCTGCAGGTCAGGAAGCTTAGCAACAGGATGAGGCCACTGGTTCCTCATCGCCCAGATAATGGGCTGCAGAGTCAGAATCTGTCCAAGGTCTGTCCAGCTTCAGAAACCACACGATTTACTGATGTGATGGTCAGTGAGTGGGCCAGTGTGGAGGGTGCTGGACTAGGAAAGATCAGGAAAATATCTGGAGCGATGAGTCAGGAAAGACTTAAGAAGAGGGAAGGAAAGCTGGAAGGAAAGAGCAGATTTGCCATAGATGGATGGATGGATGGACAGGCAAAGGGGAGGACTGGATGGATGGATGGGCAAAGGGGACAGATGGATGGGAGGAGTGAATGGATGAATGGATGGGTGGGTAGGTTAGGTGGTTGGATGGATGAGTGGATAGACAGACAGACAGATAGATAAAAGTGAAAAGCACCATACTGGACACCCCACAGTTAACTGCATGGACCAGCAGCTACTTTTCCAAAGCTCATCATTTATTATGGTGAGTTCTCTGCACACCACCCTGTGAGATCCTGCTACCTCTTTTTAAGCCCTTCCGCATCCCCCACTCAACAAATGGAGACTCGGGCATCAAAGGAACACTCACCCAGCATCTCCCAACCTCAGAAGGACAGAAGCAGGACCCGGCCTTCACAACCCCACCTTCTGTGCTCACGGCACCATGGCTCCACACTCCCCACCCTGTGTGCTCCCTGGAGGGCCCCCACCCCTGCCTTCTTTCCCTCTCCTCTGGCTCCTGTGCCCCGTGACACACGAGAGCCCCAGCATTATGCAGGGGCCTTTGCACTTCTTCGACCAGCCAGCAGTAATAGTATTACTGCTGATGGCTTTTCATTCCCAGTGCCAAACCTGATTTGGAGTTCACAGGGCTGAGGGTTTCAGTCCCGGCTCTGTGGACAGGCTCCGGGAGCCCTAAGTGACTGTAGCATACAGACAATCCAATTATTATTGACATTTGTGTCTGATTGTTCATCAAGGAGGCGCTGTCTTGTAGGCTGCATCGTTCTATTACCAGCCCGCTCTCCGGCTCCCCACTAACGAAACCCCCACGCGCCATGAGGGGGAGGCCAATCAATCGTAATATGGTCCGCATCTGTCAGAGTCGCTTTCGTGGGCTCCGCTTCGGGGGCAGCTGGAGAAGGGGGAGAGAGATGCGAAGAAGAAGTATGGGCCCAAATTCAGGTGCAGTGAGTTTGAAAGGTCAGCAGTTACCGAAAAGACAAAACAATACACTGCATTGCAAAAACCAGATCTACAGCATGGGCGGGGGGGGGGGGGATTAAGATTTGTGATGTACATGCACCAACCATCCCATGACAAATGTCAATTGTTATGTGCTGCAAACCTACTAAGAAAAATAAAAATGTGAAAAAATGGATATAAACACAACTATACCTACATGTAGATAGATAGATGCCAATATTTGGGGGTGGGGGGACTATACAGAGAAATGTCACCTTGTCAGCTCGTTCTGCTTGACTGTGTCTCCAGATGATTTCTAGCTTGATATCAACACACACTTGATCACAAGAGAACCAACAAGTTGGATTACTCTGCCCCCCCAAAAGCAGCTCTCATTTATATCATGAACCTCCCACCCCTGCTTTATTTAACTGTTTTCCCCAAGTCCCAAACACCCGCTTGAACTTGGGAAGGGAGAAGCTGCCAGTCTTCCCAGGTGTCAGCTGCACCTGATGCCAACCACTCATAATTCTTCATTAATTCCAAGGACATGTGAAGAGCTCGCACCACCAGGAAAGCCAAGGCCATTCTGCAAAGAGTCAGGAGAGGTTTGCACTGATCCATGCCTGCTTTCTTTGACTCTGAACAATAACCCAGTCTTGTGCAATGGTGGTGCGCTGAACGGTCACCATGGGGATGCCACAGCGACACTGGCCTTGTCAGCAACAGCTTTGAGCTAACTCACAAAGACCAGGGCTCTTCCTTACCCAAATAAATCAAAGTTAGACACTAAACGTAACACTGAGCTCGCCACTAGAAAGACTAAAATTAAAAGATGACACCACCACGCATGGACAAGTCTGCAGAATGAGTGTATTCATCACCTTTCCGTTGCTGGGTCAAAATACCTGACACACACAGGTGAAAGAGAGAAGGTTTCTTCCAGCTCAGGGTTCAGCCCAGGGTTATGGGGCTCCAAGGCAGCGACATCATGGCAGAAGGGCATGGGGGAGCGAAGATGCTCACCTCATGGTGGCCAAGGAGTGAGAGAAGACAGTGAGAGAAGGGATGAGGTGCGGGGTTACCCCCCAAAGACAGCTGCCCCAGTGACCCATGTCTTCCAACTGAGGGCAACAGCCATTCAGCTATGAGCTCATCGATGGACTGAGCCATCTGAAAGGTCTGAGTGTGGGGCAGCATTTTAGCTAACAATCATAACAACATCCAACTATTGACATGACTCCTTCCAGAGAGGACAGGAGGAAGGAGGGCGGGCCGCAGTGATCTCTCCATGTTTTACTCAATGGTCTTCTCTAGTATTTAAATTTTTGTAAAGAGAATGAATTCGTATAGAGCATAATGCCCATTTTGAGCCAGAATGCCCATGTTCATACATAATGAAATGACCCTCACACCATCATCTTTTTAGAGTCTGTTTTCTTGTCCCCTCTTCATTCATGCATGCTCTGGTTCCAAACACAGGCTTTCACTGATCTTAACAGTTCATTTGTAGGATGATGCATGCCTCTCTCACTGCTCTGAGAGGCTGAAGCAGGAGGATCACAAGTCCAGGCTCAGCCAGTGCAGTGTGGCAACTCCTTATCTCAAAATTTAACAGGGGTAAGCGGTAGGATAGAGGTCATTGCAGAAGATCCGGGTTCAATCCCCAGTACAGAAAGGAAGAAAGACTCCCAGCACACCGTGTTACTCCAACAACGACAGCAACGATCTCCAAAGCCAGAGAAGCAGAGGAATTTGGCTGGCGCCTCCGTCAGCACCCAGGCAGCTCCATGACCAACAGTTTCACCCACTCAGGGCTGCCTTGCTCCGAGCTGGCACCACGGTGGGACCCAGGGAGAGGCTGAGCGGAGATGGAGACCCCTGGACCTCTTCCGCCGCCAAGGAGGGATTAGGAAATGCTTAGTGAAAGAACAGATGGATTGATGTTAGCTCCACGTTTCCTTGACCTTAGAGGGTAAATATAAATCCAATCAACTTCAATTACGGTGAAAAACACCAAGCTCCTCTGGAGCGAGGCTATGATGAGGACTTTGACTTTGCAAATACTCATGGAGCTTGCAACACTCGGCCTCCGAGGCCATGGTAGGCGCATGCGCAGGCTGGGCTGACCAAGAACTGGTGTCCTCAGGGTCCTGGTCCTGCAGTGAATCCATCCCGGACCCTCCTTGTTCCTGACTACATCATCCCAGATTCGAGGAGTTCCTTGAGTCATGGAAAGGAGGCTGGAAGACAGCTAAGCCCTTGAGCTCCAAACTTTCTCGGGGCCCATTCTTCCCCAAAGCGAGTGCTGTATCTCACTTTGGAAACTTTGCTGGTGATGGTATAAACCTGACGATTTTACTCAATTATTTCCGGGTTACTTTTTAAACTGGAAATGGTCAATCAAGCAATGAGGAAAATACCTACTTACTAGCAAAGTCCCTGGGCAACGGGGATCTAAATATCTTTACCAACCCCTGAAACTGTCTTTTTCATATCCCACGTGGGGTTGAGTGAGAGAGGATTCCATTAAATTTATGGTCAGCAAATTTTGTCTACCAGGGAGCAGAAAGTGGAGGTTTCGTGGACTCTGTGGTCTCTGTCACAGCTACTCAGGTTTCTTGCCGCCCAAGGTGCACGCGTTTAAAAAACCATAGCCCGGGTTCCCAAAAGACACTTGCCAGGATATCCGCAGTCATCCTACTTAAAGTCCCCCCTGTGTGGAAATATACCGCACGGCAAGGCATAGCAGAGCGGAGAAATCAAGGATGTTTCCTAGACGGGAAGCTGTCCACGCACCAATGAGCATGATCCGTCCACAGCCACGCGCAGGAACTGGCTGGGCTTCACAGGTGCAGCATCCGGGCACCAGAGTCCAGCGCGCTCTGCCGCGACACGACGCATGTCCATGAGATTCTCTGCGCCCTGCACAATCGCGCAATTAAAGAACCGCAGTTGGAGAAAAGGGGCAAGAAGACTAGGCTGCAAAAGTTCACCTGTGAGACATTTTTTAAAAATAGAAACTTAATAAAAAAAACAGCGGCTCCCCTTGCCACAAATCAGATGCCTAATTACTGTGCGTGCGTCCAGCTGTGCGGACCGTGCATGCAGAATGAGCTTGTTTTGTAGAAGCCTCAAAACCAGGTAAAGGTCTAATCAGTGTAAGAAGTTGCGATAGCGGTCAGGCCAAAGAGGGGGTGAAGTAACAACCCAGAGGAGGCGGGGAAGCTGGTGCGCCCTGGTGGACACCTTTCCTTGCGCGCACTTTACAGTGCACTCCTAAAGCTATGAGGCGTTCACCAGGGATGAGGAAGGGATCCTGTCTTCCCAAGAAAAGGCAGTGGTGGCCGGGAAGAGGGAAAGAGGAGAAAGGGCAGCCGAAAGGGACTGACTGAAGGCTGCCCGGGTGGGGCAGCTGGCTCACGAAGAACCCAGGGTGAGTCCACGTTCCCTTCTCTCTTGGGTGAACCCTGGGAAGTTCACATCTGTCACCATCAGAGTTTTGGGGCGAGGTAAGCCCCTCCGGGCCGTGTGCACTGCATCCGTGACATCGATTCTTCGACTGAGTGCATGGATTCCACCCTTGGTCTTGAACCCTAAGGATGACAAATTAATTCTCTGGTAAGCATGCATGCTCACGGTTTCACCGAGCAAGCGTGCAGTGTGAGGAGGAGGGTTTACCAGATCCAGGCCGGATCTTTAGGGAAGGCGACCCAGCCCCAGATCCCAGCAGTAAAATAGCATCAGCTTGTGTTTTTCTCTCCACTTTTCAAAAG